AGTCCCAGGAAAACTGGGGGTGTGACTCAGTCCAACCTCAAAGGCTGAGAACCAAGGGTTGCCAGTAGGGTAAATACCAGCCCAAGAGCAGGAGATGAGATGAGCTATCTCAGTTCTAATGGCGAGGGATGAGAAAAAAGGAGTAAATTCTCCTTTCCTCCACCTTTGGTTCGATTTAGGTCCTTAAGAAATTGGATGATGCCCACTCACATTAGAGAGGGTCATCTCCTGAGTCCACTGATTCAAACACAAAGCTCATCCAAGAATCCCCCCACAGGCACATTATGTTTAATCTGGGCACCTCATAGACAGTCAAGTTGATACACTAAATGAGTCATGCTCACTTACATACACACACTCACACACACACACACACACCATGCTGCCCATCTTTAAAAAAGAAAATCTTACTAAAGATTCCTTTAGGCACACTAATGTGGCAAAACTATAGAGTTTGGGTTATCTATAGATACCAGTGAATGGAAATAAGTAATAAGCCATGACATTTCTAGTGTGTTCTCTAGTTTCTAAATCAGCTTTATGTCTCGTCAAAACCAGTAAAATAAACAGAAAAGAAGCTGTTCTCCCCATTTGACTGATAAGGAAAATGCAACTCAAAGAGGTGATTTATTTGATGTCCCTGAGCTGTTGGGTTGGGACTAGAACATAGAGCTTTGTGAGGATTTTTTAGGTGTTTTGTGGATGAGAGAGTAAAGATGGTATCTGCAGGTGAGGATGGATTAGGAAAGCCTTGGACCAGCCTTGCAAGGGGTTCTGAGCAGACTTTACAAGAGTCATGCTCACTTACATCATCTCAACCTACCATGTGGTTGTTAATTATATTTCACATTATAATTATCTCATTAATCTTCCTGAAAGTTGGAATTTCTATAATACTTGACCATGGGGAATGCTTTCCATCAGGCTTCTTGGGGGCGTATAAAGACCACCACCAAATACTCCCCACAAACAAAGGATCAAGAAGAACTCAGTTGCCCAGGATGATTGACAAACATCTACCATATCTTCCTCATGGGGTTCTCCTGGGACCCTTTGGAACACTTGGAGACCCTGTGATGGAAATCTTCCTGAGACCATTGCTAGCCACCCTGGTATGATAAATGGTCTCAGGCCTCTTCATTTAGCTTCTTCCTCACCTAGGATGAAACAATGCACAGTGAGAGGAAGTGGACCATCAGCCCACCTTACCCGGGGCATACACATACACACCTGGTCAGGTTTTATCATTCCATACTATTTTCCAAAGATCAAAGAATGTGGCACACATTATTCAATAGTAAGGAAAACAGATGCCCAAAGTGCACACAAAATGGCCCCAAAAGACATTGCATTCTTTACCAGCCTGTCCCTTTACTAGTACCAAGATAAAATTGTCACGTTTGCCACTGCACTGGGTTCCAGGCAAGATTCTAGCTCAGAAAACAACCCTGCAGAAAGCCCTCTTCAGAGGATGCTTGAGAGCACCGTGGAGGCCACAGCACAGAGCTGTGGATTGAACAAGCCCCGCCTCTGAATATGGCCAGGTGGAGGCTGCCTATAGATCTTCCTTGAAGAGTCTCTTGCCTCCCCTCCCACTTCCCCATTTTATCCTTCCTCAAGGGAAATCTCAGAGCCTCAGGCAAGCAGGGATCTTTGCACACACTCTTTATTGTCTCATTCAGTTTATTTCCTCTGCTTGAGCAGAAACACATGAAAGAAGCCATTTCTGGGTTGCCAGGGAAGTCAGAGGAGAAAAAGGTAGAGCCAGTCTTTTGAATGTTAAATGGCAGCACATTTCAGACCCCTGGAAACTCCTGTTAACTCCTCTGTGGGGAAGTTGGCTTTCAGGTTTTGCAATACAATGGGAAATTTATGGAGTGAGCAGAAAGTCTAGGGCTTTGTTCCATCCCGGGGAATCTTCAGCTAAAATCACCTGGGAGAGTGAGGTGTAAAGGCCAGGGGGAGTAACCATGGGAGTGGGGGGCATGTGAACAAACTACAGCAGGGAACCGGGCAGAAAGCACCAGAATATGAAAGTCTTTTTTTAACAATCAGGAACATGTCTCACCACCATTCCTAGATAGGTTCTTAGAGACACCCTTTAGGTCTCTGTGTAGATGCACCTGAAGACATCCAAAGAGACAAGTCTTGAACTCAGTTGATACTAAATAGAAATGGGTAATAGTAATGCAGCAGCTCTCCTGTCCACCAGGTTTTCCAGTGTCGGGACACTTAGTTCTTCAATGCTTTTCTCTTATTGGGTACATTTTGACTCTCACCCTTTGTATTGCCTTTGCTGAGAGATGGTCAAGGTCAGAGAAGGTGAAAGAAAACTTACCCCAGTTAAAGGTGCTAGTTCCCACCTGCCCTGACAGCCAAGGTGAGAGAGAACTTGCATCAACTAATTTGGATCATTAACAGGTATACTGTTAGAAGCTTTACTGTGGATAGTCTTCAGTTAATATTCACCCAGAGAGCCTCCTGGCACTGCCTAATGGCTGTGTAAAAGAGAAGGCCTTCCCCCTCTTTCACACCCATCCTCCCTCCCACCACAGCTAGAGACATTTTCATTTAGCAGGTGAATCGAATGGTGAACTGAAAGCTGTGCTTAAACTTTAGGGTTGTTTTCTGATGGTTGGTTGTGAGTTAGTTGCACATCTGATGAGCTTCCAATGGATGTTAACCATTAACTCACTGATCGTTAGTCGCAATGTAGGTGTAAATGTTTGACAGAAGAGCACACACACAGCAGAATGCTAACAAGTCCCAAGAACGAGTTAGGAAGCCAATCGGTGGGAAAGGAAGTGGACATAGTAAGAGTAGAAATGATCTATTATGGAAACCGTGGACAGAGTTTCTGCTAAATCATTTGTACGCTGTTAAATGATTTACATTCTGATGGGACCTGGTAATCCCAGAACTGCAATTCCAAACATTCCTCCACTTCCCAGCACTGACGGTCTATATCAATTACAGCAGCCATAAAGCTCTTTCAGCTGGTTCACCCTAAAGAATTATTGTCCCCCATTCTTCCACATGCTTATTAGTCTCTTAGTCCACATTTCTGGGTTGGTTCAGTAGCAAATATTATTATCCAACTTTGAAATTCCTAGACTTGAAAGAGCCTGAGGATATCCTTCCTTCAAATGATAAGGATTGCTTGAATACATTGTTTTGGGTTCCATGGGCCAATTCTGGACTCCCTCCCCAAACTGGAAAATCCATGGATCAGAGTTTGATTTATAATTCAAGTGGAGAGTAAATCTAAAGATAACTTCAATTATAGATACTGTTCTGAGAATATGTTGGCTAAGACTGAGTCCTTATTGATGTGGGGGAATGCAGATCCCAGGCAAGGTCACGTATTGTATAGAGAGTTAAACATTTGTTTCCAGATGCAGTGGCAAATGTCTGTAATCCTAACTGAGGTAGGAGGATCACACATCTGAGGCCAGTCGGGGCAACCTGGGGAGACCCTGTTCCAAAATAAAAACTAAAAAGGGATGTGGTAGAGCACCCTGAGTTCAATCCCCAGTACTGAAAGAAAGAAGTTAAGAGTTTGTTTCCAGTTCCATAACTGGACCTTGTGACCTTGGATAAGCCCCTTCATGATTTTGGATTTCCATTCTCAATAAAGCATGGGACTGAGCTTGGTCTCTAAATCTCTCCTATGTCTAACTCTGTCATCCAGTCACTCACTATAGGATCTGGCGATATTTGGGAAAGAAAAAAAATCAAGATAGATATTTCTACTTAATCTTGACATTGATTAACGTTTTTATTATTGTTACATGCCAGTGGAATCCAGGTTTCCCTTTGCTCTAACATACGAACTCTATGTAACAATACAGTATTGTGCACTGAGAAGTTAATTAAGAGGGTAGGTCATGTTAAGTGTTTTACCACACACACCAAAACATCTTTGAAGATAATGGACATGTTCATTGCCTTGATCACATTGATGGTAGCACAGATGTATGCACATGTTAAGTATGTGTAGTTTTCATATGTGTTTATTATACCTCAATAAAGCTGTTAAAAAAGGTGGGACTATAGTTATACTCATGTGTCACTTAATGACAGGGATATATTCTGATAAATACACTATTAAGTGATTTTTTTTTTTTACTGTACAAACATCAAATTGTACTTACACAAACTCTGACRGCTGTGACATCATTAGGCCATAAAATTTTATGAAATCATCATCGTATATGTGATCCACTGTTGACCAAAACATACTTATATAGTGTTTAACTTTATGCACATTTTGAATATATATGCATATATATGTATAAACACACACCGGATTTTTTTAAAAACCCAGAAGTTTATGTTCTTTTTAAAGACCATGTACCTTGATCACAATTAAATATTTGGAAGAAGAACTAATAGTGCAGGAGCATATTTAAACTAGACTCTATAATAGCTCTGCCCTATAGAACTATGAGAGAAATGTTCCGTATCTCTGCTAAAACATGATAGCCACTGGCGACAATGAACCATGAGGACATGAAAGAAATGTGGCTAGTGCAACTAAGGAACTGTATTTTTAATTTTGTCTAACTTTAATCTTAACATAAAGAGTTAATGCTATCCCAGTACAGCATTTCTTTCAACAAAGCCTTGCTCCTAGTTCTGAAGTAGAATTTACAAAGAGAATTCAATTCGTCATCATGCCACCACATTCCAGTGACTAATCAGATGAACAGGTGGACCACCCATTAATGTCTCATCAAGATTTAAAGATGAAGCCTTTGAGGTGACCATATAGGCCCAGGAACACTGGTCCCTTCTGGCTCAAAGCTGAAAAAAAACACAGTCAGGGAGTGATGGAGACCAGTAATTCAGACCAGGGATTTTGGGGACTAAAGATAGTCTATGAGTATTTGAGATTCTAGAAAATCCTCAAATAGACCAAGTCTCTTTTTTAGAGAGATGTCAGAAAGAAGTCATTGTTAAGTACCAAACTTACCTTCCCTGTTGGGATTCTTTTTCAGGAGCTTATTGATGTCGACAGTGAAGTGGTGTTTGAATTGGCTTCCTATATTTTACAGGTAAGTTGCTCTACAAGAAAGGAAGCGGAAATAAGACTGACCACTCACAGGCAATACTGTTTCCTAAGTTTTTCTAGCTAGAAGCTGGAAAAATCCATTAGGAATACTGATCCCATGGCAGTAAATAGCAGTTTCTACTATTCCAGAAGCGTTAGCCAACTCTATCACTGTAAAGGAAGCTGCGTGTTTATGAGCCTGGGAGAAACTGAGGTCATTCAATGACCCTATTTATTTTTTCTTTGAAGTTTGGTAACACTCTTCATCCATGGAGAAAGCCAAGAGAATAGCTAGAATTAATTGCCAAAGACTCGCCCATCTCCCTGGAAAGACGGGAAAATCTTTAGCTTATGTAAAAAGAGAGATATGGCTTTGAAAGTATTAGCTATAATGATGACAAGGTGAGTTGAAATTGATATCATGAAGTTATTCCATCAACAAATATTTCTAGAACACTGTTAAGTTTCCATGGCTCCTGCCTCTAAGTCTTTGTGTGATGGAGAAATAGTCCTCAACACCAAATGGAACAAAAAGTGACATAGGAAGTAGTTCTATCCAGACAGGTGTGAAGTTTCAGAAACTTTAAACCTGAACAAGTGAGACCAGGACCAAGCTTTGGAAACTTGCCTTTTGTCATTATGAGTCATGTTCTTTATATTTTACCTTCTACAGTTTGGCCTGGTGTCTCTATTCAGGGAGCAAAGGAACTTCTTCCTCATGGTATTCCTATAGCAAATTGGATAATAATAATGTATTTTAAAGTCTACTGCTGAATGTATATGTCTCACTGATGTTGCATTTTTTTTCTTCCACAGGAGGCAAAGGGGGATTTTTCTAGGTGAGTTTACAAACTATTTTTTGGCTTAAAAAAAAAAATCTATTCAAGGGCTGGGGTTGTGGCTCAGTGGTAGAGCACTTGCCTAGCATGTGTGAGGCACTGAGTTCGATCTCCAGCACCACATTAAAAAAATTAAATAAAAAAAAAGGTACTGTGTCCATCTACAACTAAAAATTTTTTAAAAATGTATTTAAGGGCTGGGGTTGTGGCTTAGTGGTAGAGCGCTTTCCTAGCATGTGTGAGACACTGGGTTCGATTCTCAGCACTACATATAAATGAATAAGTAAAATAAAGGTCCATCAACAACTAAAAAGTATATTTTTTAAAAAAGTATTTGATTGCCTTTCTATTAAAAGAAGCTATCCTGCCTGTCCTCTGTAGGAGGACAGTTTATTAATATTGTATGTTAGCGGTGAGATCTCAATTCTCAGCTTGTCAATTGAAGCAGATAGATCAGAAAGAGGAAAGATAGTCCTGGGCTGAGTCCATCCTAAATGAGAAGTCCTCAGGATATGCCAAGTTCAGAGCCCAGTGTCACCTGTGGTCATTATTCTGGGGTTTGATGGGTTGTTCCCGAGACTCTGCGAAGCCTGGAATTACTACTCAGGTGTTAATATGGTTGCAGGTAACATGACAGCCCTAACAAGTATGTGGGTGTCTTTTTTCTCTCTCAATTTAGTCCCTAATCCTCCAGGGACAAAATGCTGTCCCTTAGGAAGATGTCTTTCATAGACAGCATAAATATCCCACTTCAACTGTCCTTCTATGTCAAGATACTGCATTGTAGAAAAAATAAACAGACATAACTACTGGGAACCTGGGAACGGCTTCCCTGTAGTACTGCAAACCTGAACCTTGTCATTCATTCCATAAGCTCCACTCATTGACCAACTTGGCTGAAATCGCCCCACAGTCTCTCCTGATCCTTACCAAAACCTTCCCACAGCAGAGGGTGGTAGCTGTCCACCCTAACAGAATTCTCTGCTCAAAGACAAATGTTGCTCCTCTTCCTTCTCTTTTAAAAATAGAAACAAGTGGAGGGCTGGGTTTGGCCAGTGGGCTGTAGATTGCTGACCCCAGGCTAAAATGAAGGGATTCCCTCAACTCCATTTGAATATTTGCTTAAGAAGACCTCAGGCCCCCTTTACTTAGGTTTCCCAAGTCCTTAGTAGAAAAAAAAAAAAAAGTAGTCATATTTTAAATGAATAATGATTGTAAAGAAACTTATCTGGGGACCTTGAACATGATAGGTGGCCAGTCACCATCTACTGAATTTGTTGAATGAACCATTTTGGGTCATGGTAACTAGTTTATAACATTTCTTTTCTTTGTTACTTTCTTCTGACCTTAATTTGGTATTGGAACTTGGGCTTTTGATCAGTGTAAATCCATATCTACTTACAAAGATTTCTGTGGAGTCCTGTGAATAATGGTTTAAAAAACACAAATCCAACGGATTCCAGTGTCCAGTCTACTTACTCTGAAGGTACTTTTTGGTTTGCCTGCTCTGCACTCTGCTGTAAATATTATTTATTTTTGAGAGTACCCTGACAGGATGGAATGTGAACTGGGAACAGCCTCCTCTGGCCCCATGGATCATGGGAACGTGGCCACAGGGGTTGCCAGAGAGGAGGAAGTGCAGGCCTGGCCTGGACAGTCTTTCATGGCCCCCTAATGAGCTGTGGAATGCCAGTTAGTTGGCTGAATTCAGAGAAACAAAGAATCCCGGTTGAGCTTCATTTGTCAGAGTGCTGTCTAGAGGTTTGTTTGTAGCTGCAGCTGTCTGAGGAGAAAAATAGCTGTCAGGGGAGGGGAAGGTCGGACACCTTATCTAAAGGTCAGTTCATCTCATCACATAAAACCCACCCCGTAGAAGTTGGAGGTGATCTGTTACATTGTGGGTCCCTGATACACACAGTTTTCTGGAGCAGGTCCACAGTGAATAAGACTCTCTTCAGAAGTCCAGAGAAAATAGTGTGCTTGAGTGGTCTGAAATAAGAGAAGTCACTTTGAATTCCTTGTGTGCACCTCTTCCCATCAACTTCTGGGACGATCCCCAGAACATTGAAGCTGACCACGTTTGTTTGGTTTGGTGGCTAAACATTAGGCATTTTTAGATGTCCCATTTCATAAGTTCGTTTTGTAGAAAGTGAGTTTCGCTGTCATTAATGTGTGACTCTAAACCTTAGTTGTATAGAACAGTGGATTTGACTTGGAAACGTACCCTGTAAAAGATGTCTGTCAGAAATACTTGAGGAGGGATTTTGTATCTACAAAACACACAAGGCTCAGGTCCTAATTCTAAGATAGACTTAGCTAGATGAACAAATAACCTTTTGGATTAATGGTCACACACAAAAGGCAAATTAACTCTTTCAGAGCCTGAGGGGGTCTTGAATCTAAAACTTCCTAAAAGGCTTATTTTCCCCAGGATGCTATTATTTATACACTTCCATTTCAGTGACTGTATACAGATAGCATTCAGCTTAAATGACTATTAAAAATCTATAAATTATGGGAACAAATTCCCTGAAGTACCAGAGAATAAAAGAGAGAAATGAGAGAAGTCAAAAGTGCTGATATAGTTCAGCAGAAAGAGAACTAAAGAAGGATAACCCAGAACCATAACTGCTTTCCTAGGAAACTTGCAGGCTCTTGTCTTTCTTTTTTTGGTCTTCTCCTTTTGTTCAGCAGATCCCTCTTACGAAACTCTCGTCCTTCCAGTTAATAGAAATACTGACTTCCTTGTCTTACTACACTTGACAGTGAAATGTTGGGTTTAGCATTGATGAAAGAAAATGACTGAGGGGTAGATACGTGGTATCGCCTATGAGAGGAAGAAATCCATGCCATCCATGTGTATTCTGACATACAGTGGACAGATTTGGACGCGATCATTAAAGGGTTAGGAAATAGTCTTATCTAAAAATAATGTTTTCTCACTTCTATTATTTTCCACAACACAGCATGGGGGTAATCTTGTTTCATTTCCTGGTGTGTGTACATGTAAAAAAAAATTTTTTTTTTAATTCTCATATCTGTCAGTGTTCAGGAAATCAGTAGAGTTGGCAGCTCTATGTAAAAACATGTCAATAGCTTCTGAGTCGTTAATCAAGGCAGTTCTAGGAACTAATATTAGGTGGAGAAGAGCCAACACAGTTTAAAAACAAAGGCTCTCATTAATAATCACCCTTGAACACTATTAAACCAACAGACATTACCTGTGATTATACAGCTTTGTCACAAATGCCGTAGCGATTATGTGCCTCGCACTGACATTTTAATTCTAAAACTTCTTTTTAGACCCTTGAGTTATTTTAGAAAAATAATTTTTTTCCATACAAAGGTCAATACCAAAAGCCCCATTTAATCTACTGACAAGACATTCAAATTTTCTAGTTATGTTCTAATTTAACTTAATAGAAGATTCATTGCTGCACTGTGCTCAGTAAGGAATTAGATATAAGAAACTTGATTTTCCCCCACTAAGAGGAAAACCGTCCTTATCCTAATCTTGAGAATCACCTCACTTTTCAGCGTCTGTCAGTCCTTCTGCTATTTCTACAAATGTGATATACATTTAAAAAAAAATAATTTTTAAACAATTTTTAAAAATTGAAACATTTTTAAACAGTTTTATGCTGAACACCAAAAATCATAAATGCTGAAATCACACTCCCCTTGATATAAAGAATCAGCTATACATAAATAGGGACTAGTCAAAACCATCTGCTATGCAGAATTTTTTCTTAACAAGATTTATTGAAACCAGATCAGTGAGCTCCATGGCTTTGGGCTGTCTACTGGGACCTGGAAATATCTTTGTTTCAGAGGACCGGATGTATTGATGCTAATCACTAAAACAGGAATCTCCCAGCAAGAGATTTACTAGGACCCATCAGCCAATAACACCTGAAAAAGACTGACATTAAGGAAATTCCACATAAAGATCCTTGGACTACGTTCAGCATCCCTGGTGGAGTCCTTTAGGGCGGAGCCTGTCACATGCTTCAGAGAGAAGCCCAGCAGTCATAGGCTCTGCTTCCAAGCACAGCCACCTAAGGGGAAGTGTGGTTTTGATTGGATATTTGGGTTTCAGTTTATATGACGTCCATACAAAGTTAAATATGGCTCTGCTGAGAGTATCAGCTTATTAGAGTTCAGGGGTCAGTATGAAATCTTGTGTCTCTGAGAGATCAATCTGCAAGTTTTTTATTAAAAAAAAAAAAAAAAACATTCCCACTTTCAGAAATAGAGCAATGCTTCACTCGATCGATAAAAACAAAAAGCAATTCTTCACTAACAAGGGAAATTGATTTTCACCTCATTTTAGAAGAGGAGTTGAAGTATTTATTTGTGCTGAAAAATTCCCATGTATTTCCAGAGACCACATGTTTATAGGTCCCTGGGAGAGCAATTAGAGACAAAAAGTGTAAAGATCTTCTAATATTTTGTCCTCTATAAACTGTGGGACTGTGTGGTCACTAGTATGAAGAGAAAGAAACTTTTGTGATCCCCCGCCAAGGTTCCCTCTTGATTTTCTCTTTTAATCTTGACTGTTTTTTTAAATTTATTCTGATTTGTTATATATGACAGCAGAGTGCATTATAATTCATATTACACATACAGAGCACAATTTTTCATATCTCTGGCTGTACACAAAATATATTCACATCATTTGTGTCTTCATACATGTACTTAGGATAATGATGACCATCTCATTCCACCCCCATACTCCCTCCCTTCCCTTGTCTGCCCTATTTTGAAATGCATTTGTGAATAAGTGAATAATGTAAACCAAAGTTGGCTTACTAGTCTCTGAAAATTCCTGGTTCATAAGACTTTTTGGTCAGGCCAGAGGATGCAAATCATAGGTCAAAGCAAGAATTTTAGATCAACAGGAGAAAAAGATAATGAACTAATTTTCTTCTTAAAAACTTTTTTTAGTACTTTGAAAACCTTTGTATAGATTGCTATATTTAAAAGATGACAGTTATTTT